ACACACACACACACACACACACACAAAGTCTTAATCTCTGTATACAGTATAAATACCTCACTAGTGTACTTTGTTAGCTAACTGTTCTTTTTTATCTCTGAGCGCTGTGCTACTGTGTAGGAGCACAGCCTCCTAGTAGGTACAGTTGATATCAGCCTAATAATTCTTAAAATACTGTATTCTATGATCCAAGGTGAAACCCAGTCAAATTTACAAAGCCAAAGCTTTCCCTTTCGGCTAGAGGTCCTGCCTTCGGATTCTCCACATGCCCAGTCTGAACTTCCCTCTTCATAGTACCTTTAGGGCCTTCTCTTAGCAACTCATTTACAGTACATTGTGAGGCTCATTTGACTGGTTCTCTGGATTTTTCCTGGCTCTTGAATTTTAACCTACTCTGTCCAGGAGAATGAGACTTAGAATATAAGAGGGACATAAATTCAAACCATTTGTATTTTGTATCAAGAAACTTGTTTCTCATTCCAGTTCTGCTCCTGTTATACCTAACAAAGTCCTTTGCCCTCTATCGATCTCAGTTTACCTTTCTGTAAAATGAGAACATGGACATAGAACCCAATGATATATCTCCTTTCATCATTCTGTTTTCATCTTACATAAGCAAGCATAGCATAGAACTGTGAGACCAGATGTTGGGACTAGAAAGGCCAAGGTTCCAATCCAAGCTCTGCTGTATACTCGCACTGTAATTTGGGGCAAATTCCCTAACTTCTCTGAGACTTAAGTTTTCTTTGCCATGAAGTGAGAAATAAAGCAGAAATCCTTTTCCATGCAGTCCCTTTGAGACCTAGATATGGCATGAGTAAAGCTCCATTGGAGACTAAATGAAGAGACCTGGAAATAAGTGGAAGGCAACTGTGGTATTTCTTGGTGCAGTTTTCAAAGGGTAGTTATTTTGATCATGGATAAACAAGTGTGATGCCTGGAGCCTCCTGTACAAAGCCCCAAAATCACACCCAGAGGGAGCATCCTACACCATGTACAATTCAACAGCAAAATTTAGAAAAAGCTGACAGCTAGGGAATGTGCCCCACTGGGAGCTAAACTAAAGGAGCCTGTTCTTGACTTCCTGGCTGGAGAGGAGGGGTATCAAGTCCAAGAAGGTTTAATCAGTAACCTGAAAAATAGGTGAGGTGATAGAAAAGGCAGGAAAAGACGTTGGGCACTTAGTTTATTTATATGACAACCCCTACTCCAGCTCAGAGGGCAAAGAGTACCCTTTCCCTGGCAACAAGTCAACAGACTTTCACCAGTTTGAACTGTGGACTTAGAGATTTCCCTCTAATCCCTGTTCCCTTCTTTACATGCTAACTAGACAGATACCATCTTACAAGCTCAGCTCAAGGGCAGTTCTCTCACTAATGTCTTTATTCCCTTCACGTGACCTCCTCACTCTCCCACTCACATTTGTTTCCTCTTCTTAGAGCAATGTCTTTACCTCCCTTAGGAGGATGAAATCAGATTTCTTTGCCCTCCCAGCACTTCTCAGTGCAGGCTCTGCACTCTGCTCTTTGGTGAAATAAGACTAGAAAACCCAGTTTTCATTTTGTAATCAAAAACAAACTCTAAAGGAAAGCAGGAAAATTATGAGGAGTCGGAATCATCGTAGTACATCCTGGTATGAAAAAGTACAAAGGCACTGGCCAAGGGCGGCAGCAATATTAGTCAAGAAATTGCACAAGGACACAGCTTAATTCCTGGTTGTCAGGCTTAACTCCTTAGACAAAAGCCCCATCAGCCTTCTTGATGAGAGCATATTCAAGACCTTTCAAGGGGAAACAAAAATCTCTTCAACAAATGATGGCACAAGATACTTACATGCAAAAGAATGGATTTGGACCCCTGCCTTACACCATGTACAAAAATTAACTCAAATGGATTAACATCTTGCAGGTAAGAGCTAAAACTATAAAATTTTTTGGAGAAAACATAGAATAAAATCTTACAACCTTAAATTTGGAGTCTCAGAAATGTCAACCAATGCTTGAGCAACAAAAGGCAAAATAGATAAACTGAATGTCATCAAGGTGTTAGGTCTTTGTGCTAGGTCTTTGTGCATCAAAGGATGCTATCAGGAAAGTAAAAAAAGACAACCTATAGAATATGAGAAAATATTTGTAATTATATATCTGATAAGAGTAAGCTCCAGATACATAGAGAACTTTTGTTATCAAACCAAAAAAAGCAAACATCCTAATTTTTTTTAAAAATTTACATGGTCTACATGTTACATGATCTACATGTTACCACATGTAGAACTGGAAAGAAAGATAATAATATAAAAGACAAAAATAGTTGTGGTAAGCTGAAGACTTATACAAATATATTTCCTTTAAGAAAGAACAACCAAATACAAAGCATGAAACTCATTTTTGGGTCCTGATTCAAACAACAAGAAAAAAAATTTTAAATAATCAGGAAATTTGGGGTATTAAATTATCTAAGTGAAAGATATTAAATTTTCTAAATGAAAAAATCACTATGAAAATGTGTTATGTACATATACCAACTCTCCATAATGTAACTATTATATTCTGCAAATATGTAATAATAAATATTTTTACTTTTAAAAAGTAACCACCTGAAATTTTAGATATTATAACAGCACAATAGTTATTGCTTTAAGAAACCAAAGTTGCATTCTGAAGAATTTAAAGTGAAATCATACGGTTGCTTGTATTTGGATTAGACAACCACTTTCAAAAATTGAAAGAGGATAAATGAACCAAGAATGGGAAAACCTTGATAATTCTTAAAGTCAAAAAATCGATATTAGGTCTACAAGTTCTACTTATCCTATTCTATCTCTGCTTATGTATGTTTGAAATTTTCTATAATAAAAAATTAAAACTGTGGGCTGGGGATTTAGCTCAGTGGTCTAAGTGCCTGCCTGGCAAGTGCAAGGTCATGAGTTCAATCCCCAGTACCAAAAAAAAAACTGTTACTTAATATTGTTATTGTGTCAGCTTTAAATATTCAGGAATATAAAAGCACCAGCAACTATTTCTTCAGCACTGTACCTAACTAGAGTAGAATGCTCATTGCAGATCCAACCCAGCTCAGATATCAGGACAGATCTTTTGCAAATGCTGAGATTGGCCTAATTTTACCTTTGATGCTGACTAAGGGAAGACCAGGAAGAAAACTGACTACAGTCAGTGACATTCATTTTTGACAGCAATGAGCATCATATAAATGCTGGAAAGAGAAACAGCTGGAACCCTCCTTAAGTGATCTCAAACAAAAATGTTATTTTTATCTCTGCCTTTCTATAACCCAGAGAGCTTTAGAAAGGGTGGCGGGCTCTCAATTAGCCATGTTCGTCTTCATCACCTTTTATATTTCAGTAACACTTTATGTTTTCACATAAATTCACTTAAGCCTTCCCACCACCCACAAGTTACACAAAACAGAAATTACAAACCCCAGCTTTCCCAGGAAAGAGGCGGCTCTAAAGAGTTCGTAGCATGTGTTACAGATCACCTGCTAGAGAGCAACGGAACAATTTGGAGACTCACTTCTTCCAGCTGCTCTCCTAGTTTCCTTAGCAAGGTCCTATTTTCTTTCTTACTCCTAATCATTCACTTTCTTTTATCCCACTATTGCTTCAAATCAGACTACAATCACTTTGAGGATAAATATAACGTTTTTCAACAAAACCGTATGAGCAAGCCTCCCACCATCTTCTGGACTATCAAGGAAACATCTTAGACCTTGAGTGGTTTCCTGGATTTTGGAGGGTTTGTTCTGCTTTTGTTTTGTTTCATTTTGTTTTGTTTTGTTTTTCTTTGGGGTTTTATTTACTTTATTTTGTTCTTGCTTCATGAAGAGCTGACTTGAACACTGCATAGAAGGAAAAGTAAAGAAGGAATACAACGATTGTTTCTATGGGTCAGTCAAGAGCTCTCCCAACTTTCAAAACTCCAGTGGTCAGCCAATCCCTGAGAAATCTCAGGTCTGCAAATTGGGGCCTGGAGTTCCAAATTAGCAGAGAGAGCAAGCTAAATTGTGGAAGCACAGCTCTGCTGGCTGGGCTTATAGAGAACAAATATCCCTGAAAGGGTTAGCAACTAAAGACCTGATGTTTTGAAATACACGTACACTGTAGAATAGTTCAGTTGAACTAATTAACATGTGCATTACCTTACATATTTTTCTGTGTTGAGAACAAATCTCTCAGCAATTTTCCAAATGAAATTCATTGGGAGTAACTCTCACCACTATGTTTCACAATAAAACTCTTGAACTTATTTCTCCTACCTATCTAAAATTTGACATTGTTTAATCAAATCTCCCCAACCTCCACTTTTACTACAAGCTCTAATAACTGTGACTCTATTTTCTACTTCTATAAATTCAATGTTTTTGAATCTCATAATATGAGACCAAATAGTATTTGTGTCTTTCTGCATCTGTCTTTTTTCACCTAACATAATGTCCTCCCGTTCATCCTGTTGTCACAAATGCTAACTTCCTACTTTAAAGTCTGAGTAGTATTCCATTGTGAGGGTGTGTGAGTGTGTGTGAGTGCATGTGTGTGTGTGACATTTTCTTTGTCCACTCATTGATGGGTCCTGAAATTTATTCCATATCTTGACTATTGTGAATCATCTGCAATAAACATGGAAATGCAGATATTTCTTTGACATATCGATTTCATTTCCTTTGCAAATATATAAAGTAGTGGGTGGCTGGATCAGATGATATTCTAATTCTCTTCTCATTTTCTGTAAAAGCAGCTTCTCTTGAACCCTCATAAACCTGTTATGTTTCAACCTGCAGCACTGAGAAGAGAAAGAAATTCTACTGTGCCACTGGCTACTTCACGCATCAAGTGTGACCTCACTGTAAGGACCAAGAAAGCTTAAGGGACCAAGTTCATAGCGATGCACAGATCTGCCTCTGGTTGGAGCAACATGTGCTGGAAAATGAGAGCAGGCAGCTTTGCAACAGCCAGTGTCCATCTCCCAGAGTAGTGTACTCACCGAAATCTTGGTAAAAATGTAGAGCAACAGAGACAGAGTAGAAAGGTAGATCTGGATCCGCTGGCCTCCAAACCTCTTCCGCAGATACTCTGGCATTGTCACCACCTGTATGGAATGCAAAGGAGATCACCATCAGCCAGAGTAACGGGATCCAGAGCAGGTAGAAAATTTGTATATATCCTGGTGTCAGAGCCACAGAAGTGTGGCTAGAGATTCATAACCTTTATTGACCTGAGAAATCACAAATAACCCACATAGTCTCTGGTCTTCAGTCATCAGCTCATTCTAATCACACATGCTCTAGCACTATAAGAGTAGCTGAATGTTATCCAAAGGCATAGAAAATGCCCAATAAACACATGTTTTTAATATACATGTGAGTGGACATAACTAAAGAGGTAGATTCTTGCCCTGGAGGAAGAAAGAACATATGGGTAGATAGATAGATAGATAGATAGATAGATAGATAGATAGATAATTACAGAGATAGATTCCTATACAAAGCACCTACTGTAAACAAGCCATCGTTACTATGGTGGCATCTTTCAAAAGCATCAAAGAAGTTGGCCAGATTAAATGTGACTGCCACTATGCCCTCCACAGGCAGTGCCAAGGATTATAGTTACAGGCCTGCCTAAACATTCTCCCAGTTTCTTTCTGCAAATTGTAAACATACTTCCTGTCTTACTCCCTCCAACTTGAGCCCATTGTTGTCAGGGACCAGATATGTGTCACCAATAATCTCTAAGCCTCCATAAGATGTGGAGTCTGCCCTGTGTTTCTCCCATGCTGCTTCTAGCAACCAACATATACATGAACCACAGGAGGTGCTCATTATGTCTCACTGAACAAGTGATAGCAAAGTTGCCCTATATAAACCTCAGGGAGATAAGGGAGCAATTGAAAGCTGAGTACCAGGCGCATGATCAGCAAACTAGAGCTGCTGAAATACATAAATGAGAGAGAAATATAGCTCTTTCCCTCCAGCCTATATGAGCAGAGTCTGGACATCAAGAGCAAATTCACAGGAATACAGTGCAAGGATACACCCAAAGTAAGAGGATAAGATGCTTCAGAGGAATCTGAATAGTGTGGAATTTCTTAGGGGACCTTCTCAGAGGGATGAGTCATGAATCTGGACTGATAAGACCCAGGGAGCTATTTAATTCTGCTATGTGCAGTCAGAAACTATTTTACAACATGGGAGTGAAAGCCAACTCATAGGTCGCTGTCCTTTATCCCATGAAGTGTCCTCTAACTTCCAGAATGATCAAACTCATACACATATTTGTTAGTACAACAGAACAGATACTTACCCCAGCCCTAATGTAAATAGGGACAAACACCCAGCCCAGCACGACCATAAAAATCAGGGCCTGAAACCGAAACAAGAGATAGACTTAAATCAGGAAAACCCTTAGCCCAGAAAAATCACCCCATACTTTTTGTAGTGACTGTTGTCACTCTGATGTTCACAGCCACCTAGGTGAGAATTGAAGACTTTCATGGCCCGAATGGCTCAAAGAAACAGAAAATGGGTCACTGATAGAGGGGAGGCAATGAAGCTGCCCACTAACATCAAACCCTGGAGTCCCAGCCAGAGAAATGTCTTCCTTTGCATCTTCCCTAATTTATAAGGAGTATAGCCCAAGATGTAACTCAGTAGTATGATGCCTGCCCTGTAAGCACAAGGCCCTCAGTTTGATTCCTGGTGCCAAAAAAGAAAAAAGAAAGGCCAAAAATAAAAAGACCCTAAAATAAAGAGTAAAATAGCATTTCAAGAATAATAATGATATAGTAAGAAGCGTACTAGAGCCTTGTCTTTTTAACAGCAAGGAGAAAGAAAAATCCTAGCATCTTATTTAAGTGGATTTGTCATGCTGCTATGGTGGAAGGAAAAAGGACTTGAGCTCCTAAAGCCAGGCTCTCCCATCTGCACTCCAGGGTATCTCTGAGGGGCTTTCTAACATTGCAAGCTACTCTGAACATACATGGAACTGGCTGACTGCTAAGGCTCTGCTGTGTTTGGAGTATGATTTAATGAACCCCCTAAAAGTGTATGCGTTGGAAGCTTAGTCTTAGAGTAGTGGGAGACGGTGAGACCTTTAGGGGGTGAGGAGTAGTAGGAAATCCTCGGGTTCCTGAGGCTGCTACTCAAGGAAGGGAATTAAGGTAGTTCAGAGAAACCCCTAGTCACTCTGAATGGAGGCTGTTACAAAAGCCTGAGCCATGGAAGCAGGGGGAAAGAACATGAGATTAAAGAGAGGATGAAACGCTGGGTACATGCACCAAGTCCCTAAGAGCCCTTAGAATCCCAGTACTTAGGAAGATGAAGCAGGAGGATCACCAGGAGTTTGAGGCCAGCCTGGGGTGCATTATAAGTTCAAAGCCACCCTGACCTACATAGTGAAACTCTGTTTCAAGAAAAAAAAAAAAAACAGGCAAACAAAAAAAGAATTATGATGTGTTAAGTACATATACACTTCTCCCATAATGAATGTGATCATTATGTGCAGAAAATATATACTAATTTTTTTTTAATTTTTAAAGCCTGGGCCTGGCCTCACCCAGAATTTTTGGCTTTTCCTGGGCAATGTGACATCTTCTTCTCACACGTGCTCCTGCCACTGCTATCTGTCAGGAGGTGATACAGACAAGAGGGATTCACAAGAGCCCTCACCATGCTCTTTGGACTTTCAGCCTCCAAAACTATGAGCTAAGTGGCCTATTTTCTTTATAAAGTCAGCCTGCCACAGGTATATCATTATAGCAATGAAAAACAGCTTAGTAGAAGCTTTTCTATCAGTAAAACACAGTGGTGCTTTATGTTACTCACGTTAAATTCAAAGCCTCCAACAGCAATGCCCGAAGCTGCTCCTGTCCCGGCGAGACCCACAAAATGACCACTTCCAATGTTACTGGAGAAGAGAGAGGCTCCAATCTGGAAACACAGGGATAAAATCAGATGATGACTCTGTACTTGACCAGGATACTTAGGATATCCCAAAGTCAGAAGAGACACATTAGGCAAAACAAGAACAGGAGAGCGGAGAGGCCAGCTGGGAACTTGACTAGTCCTTTTCAGAACCAGCAGGCAAGACAAACATGGGAAGGTGGGAAATTATGAAAATGAAAAGGAGAGGATTAAAGAAGGAGCAGTGACCACTTTAGTATCTTGAATAACTTGTAAGAGGACAATCTGTAATCATCAACTAGTGATTTCTTGCTGCTTATTTTTTTCTTTGAAAATATGTATTATTTCTACCCATTTGCTGTTTTGTTTAGTCTTTCTTTGAATAGAATTTTTTTAAAAAAGACACTACAGTACCCAGTGCTGACCGCAGAATGTCATGATGTGAAATTCAGCAATATTATTATTCTTTGTTCAGAATGATTTTAGCCTGCATAGTTTGTTTAATCTCAACATAAATTAAGATATGGATATGCATGTATGTTTAAGTGTATAGAATTGGTGACCATATTACTAAGTGTTTGTTGGATAGTTGAACAGAACTTTACAGTCTTGCTGTTTGAATTCCCACTTTATATGTTCCATTTTTGTATCTTGAACAACTGTTCGTAATGAGGACAGTACGTAAACATCAACTAGTGATTTCTTACTGTTTATTTTTTCTTTGAATTTGTGTATTATTTCTACCCATTCTCTGTTTTGTTTAGTCTTTCTTTAAATAAAATTTTTTTTAAAAAGAAGGAGCAGTGGAATATATCCCTAAATCAGATCATCTGTGGGTCTTTTGTGAGCCCAATGTCTAATAGCAAAAAAGATGTGGAAAGCTCATGGCCCACTAGGACTCCCCTAAATGTCTCCTGCAAGACTATCTACTCAAGGGCAGGGCCTGTGCCACTAACCTCCATACCCTCAGTATGCCTGGTGTCTTAAGACCTTGTCCAGTACAGACTTTCAATAAATATAGTCAATGCTTTTGAAACAAGTCATTTAAAAGAAGACTCTGAGTCTCTATCTCCTTGTCAAATAAAGAGGGACATGAAACTGATGATTTCTAAGTGATTCCTAGCTGTTAACTTACACGATTCCATAAACTCCCTGGTAACAAGAGATGATAATAGTAATTCTCTTAATCTACATACTATGTTTCCCTGAAAATAAGACCTAACAAGAAAATAAACATCGGGGCTGGGGGTTTAGCTCAGCGGCATAAGCGCCTCCCTTGAAGAAAATAAACATCAGCTGTAGCTAATAGCTAGTCGTTACCATGGTAATGGTCAGTGTCATACAGAAGATTCTACCTCACTATTCTCTTGCTTGGTGGCTAACTTGTAATGGCAGGCAAGGCAAGAGCAAGCTGAGCTGCCACTAGAATTTTTGATCTCTAGTTAGGCGTTATTTTCAGGAAAACACTAGCATTTTTTTTACAGAGGACCTAGATATTGTACAGAAATATGGACAAAACATTGCTTTTTCAATGATATACATATGTCTAAATATATATATTAAAAGACAGAGTGGAAGGACATAGATGAAATAACCAAGAGTAAAAGCCCAGAAGGGGAAAGGAGAATGGGACTATGATATCCAATAAAATGAGAGAGGGAACTTGCATTAGCCAATTGTATACTGAGGCACCAACTCAACCATATCTGAGGTCAAAAAGAACTCTAGAGAGTTATAAAGTCCTCATATATGCAGGGTCAAAAACTACCACAGCATTTGATAAGTGAAAAACAAGTACAGATAATCTTCAATTTCCAGTGTAGTTATGCCCCCAATAAATCTATAGTTGATAGAAAATGTTATAAATCAAAGACACATTAATGTCTCTAATATACTGAACATCATAGCTTAGTCCAGTCACCTTAAAAGTGCCCAGAGCACTTACAGTAGCCTACAGTTGGGAAAAATCAACTAACACAAAGCTTATTCTATAGTAAAGTATTGAGTATCTTATATAAGTTATTTAATTCCATACTGAAAGTAAAAATGATTGTGTATCAGTCAGCGTTCATGCCATCATAACGTCAAATTACTATTAAGTCAAACTGAACTAAGCCTGGGGATGTGACTCAGTAGTACAGCTCTTGCCATGCATGAATAAGGTCCTGGGTTCAATCCTCAGAAGCACACATAAAAAAAAAAGAAAATGAACATCTGAGATGAATACGTAGTTTGCAGATGAAGAAATACAAATGGCAAATAAATACATGAAAAAATATTCATCATCATTACTCATTAGAAAAATGCAAGTTAAAACAACACTGAGATTCCATCTAACTCCTGAAAGAATGGCCAGGATTAAGAGAATTACCAACAACAAATGCTGGAGAAGCTGTGGGGAAAAAGGAACTCTCCTGCACTTTTGGTGGGAGTGTAGACTGGTGCAACCACTGTGGAGATCAGTCTGGAGATTCCTCAAAAAGTTGGTATTGGAAGTCCCATTCGACCCAGCTATTCCACTTTTAGGCATATTCACAGAAGAACTGAAAGCATCATATCACAGTGATATATATGCACCTGTTTATAGCAGCACAATTTGTAATAGCCAGATCTTGGAAACAACCTAAGTGTCATCAACTGAGGAATGGATAAAAAAGTTGTGATATTTTTATACAGTAGAATACTACTCAGCTATAAAGAATGATCTCATTGAGATATTTATAAATAAATGGACACAACTTGAGACCATACTCATAAGCCAAATAAATCAAACTTAAATGTATAAATACTGTATAGTCTCCCTAGTGTAAGAAATGGTAAGAGTACATAAGTTTTTGGTAATCATGACTCTCCATTACATGGCTTTGAAGCCTTATAATGTTTGCATTCATTAGATGGAATGATTTTATCCTGGTTTTTTTATTTTATTATCTGTGATAATATGAACAGCTATTTTGAAGAAAACAAGACATTATAATAGCCAGTGCTGATTTAATATCATCTTGCTCTGAAGTCCTACCATACTTTTGTTTTTTTGTTTCCATTGGTTCTACCATATTGTGTCTTATTGGATTTTATTATGTGCGATAGTATAAACAAATTTTCTGTGGAAAATGATATAATATAGTAGCCATTGTTCATTCTCTGCTATTTGCTTCTGAATGCCCTGTAATACTTTCATTCTCTTGAATGGTTTTATACTATTTTGTTACGTTTGATACTATTGTATATGAAGTTATGCTCAACTATTTCAAAGAAAGAGACATTATGGCAGTTACTATTAGTTAGGGTTGTCTTGTGGTGAAATACTGGGTTGCTTACATTGTTCTGTTCTGATCTGCTTTGTTATGTCCTCTTTTGTCTTAATCTATTTAAAATAAAAAATTTTTTTAAAGTTCGATAATACAGAACACTCAGGAGTAGTGATGGAATCCTTACACGCCTTTCTAAATCAACTATAATGTGCCCTTCTTAGTCATAAATGTAATTTCAAAAGTCTAGAAATTAGTGACTCTGGATTCTAATTCTACTTTATCATTAATCACTTTTGTAAATTCAACTAAAACAATATTCTTTTTTAAAAAAGGAAAGTTAAATTGTACTAGGTTGCAAGTCATGTGTGTGTGTGTGTGTGTATGTGTGTGTGTGTGTATGCTAAGCAGATAGTATGAGATTTGTACTTATCTTTCTAATGTTTATTGGTTGTCCAAATCTGTAAGAAAATATATATTTACCAAAAGATATGTTACTCTAAGAAATTTTCCTAGTATATCAGCCTCTCCAAAATATAAGGTAGCTGGGGCTTAGTATCAAATGCCAAGTCAAAGCAGAGAGAGATCCCTAAACATCCAATCAAAAAGAAGCCTAGGAAAGAAGAGGGGACAGTGGTTTCATTTTCATTCATTCATACAGGTAAGATACACTTAGCACTGTATCTATTCAAATTGTCAAATGGTATTCTAGACAATGGGAAATTCAGTCGTGAATAATATAGATAAAATCTCCACTTACAGGGAGTTTATCCTAAAGTTTAGTAAACATAAATAAACACTATCTTTAAAATAAAAAAAATAAACAGCCACAAAAGTAAAGATCAGAGAGAGACAACTGCTGTGAAGAGAATAAAGCAGAGAGACTATGACACAGTGATTGGGCTAAAGACTCAGAGAGGGTCCCTTTAAATTGAGATCTAAATGGTGCAAGTTACCTACGACTATAGAGCAAACATATTCTAACAGTTAAAAATCCCACACCACCAAGAGGGAAAAGCATCCATGGTTGAGAGGCAGAAAGACCAAGGTGGCTGGGGTACAGAGGGGAAAGTGGAGGACAGTGAGATGAGGCTGAAAAGTCAGCAGAAGCTGCATCAGGGGGACGCAGTGAGCCAGGACAGGAAGTGATGGGAAGCCACTAACAGTTTAAGCACAGCAGGAACAGGATCCAATTTGCTGTCAACTGTTGCTCTAAATTGCACAGAAAGTGAAATGCTGGGGCAGAGAAGAAAACAGAGAAACCAAGTGGGTGCTATCTCGACATCTAGGTGAGAAGACAGTGGCTTGGCTTAGGGAGGTAGTAAGCGAGACGAAGGCAAGCATAGGTATTGGAGGCGAGTTCTCTAAACAAGATTGACAAGGTGTGTTGATGGATTTGATGAGGGCGATAGGAGAAAGGGTGATCAAGAATGACAGATTTGGGGCTTGAGTGGATGCCGTTCAATAAGCAGAGGCAACTAGGAAAAACCAGGTTGTTTACAGACCTACATCTTTCTGCTCCATGTTCGATGGATTAACAGTCCACTTTTAGTCAAAATCTCCCTCATGATGTCCCTAAAATTGTCTAAATCTGGAACTAAATATTTATATGCTAAAATACAGATTACTCAAAAACTGTCCTAACCCTACCAGCCCACCTACCCCAAGGCATCTTTTTACTTATCACCTCTCATTTAATAAATTATTACTGCTAAGGACATAATTATCAGGAATGATTACCTGAGTTAGATTAGTCTTAAATTGAAGAAACTTTCT